TGTGTGTGTGTGTGTGTGTGTGTGTGTGTGTGTGTGTGTGTGTGTGTGTGTTGGGTATACACAACTCGACAAAAAAAGCATGAGCGTGCCAGACTGCTTCGTCGAACTTCGCTGACTCATGAGGGGGTTGAATGTGGTGTGTGCGTGTGTGCAGCGAAATTTTGCTGACGTTGTCGCTAAAGGAGAAGCACAGGGCATGGTTAGCAAATGGGTTGGAATTGCGATTGGAATTGCGGTGTCCAGTAAAGTGGGCAATCGAGGTCCAGCGCTGTGGGCGACATATCTGACGATCTGTGCTCTTCATCTTTACTGCAACATGAAGTAAGTCTAGCTGGCAAACTACCGTCTTCACCCGAATAGAACCCCCAGTCATTTTAGCCGTATTTGGTGAGATTTTCAATCTAGATACAGCTATAATTACGGGGCTTCCTATTCGGGTGAAGACGGTAGCTAGCTTCACGCCTAGCTGGTCTCTTTATTTTCACCTGATCCATACATTAAGACATTACCCGGAGACAAAAAGAAGAAAAAAAAAAGGTACCTGTTTCCCAATTCCCCGCTCCCTTTGCATAAGGATGGCCACTGTGCAACGATGACAAGTTATTCCGCTTTTAAGGGGATGGCCACTGTGCAAGGATGACAAGTCATTTCTCTTCTTCTTTATTATTATTATTATTATTATTATTATTTTAATTAAAGGCAGGACATGGTTTTGTGGGAAGTTGGATCACATGATTCCATATATATAGCTGCCATCCTTTCTGTCACAATCACTACAACGAGGATCTTTTCAGCAGACTCCCTCAGGTCCATCCGGATTACGAGGGGGTTAGGTACCGAAACTCTGCTAACAGGGTAAGGTTATGGGTGATTTATTTATTTACGACTTCACAGTGTGGAAAAAGAAACCAGGCCGTTGATCTTCGTCCAGGTCTCCAGGGCAGAGTGCATATCTCATTTCATCGCCTTCTCTCGGAAGCTGTTTCTCGTTACTGATACCGTCGTGTCCGCTGATATGGAGTAAGGCACACCACCGTCTTCACCCGAATAGAACGCCCGGTCATTATAGCTGTATTTGGCACAACTTTTGGTCCAGATGCAGCGATAATGACCGGGCGTTCTATTTGGGTGCAGACTAGTATATCGAGTAGTAGGAGAAGCAATGAGGTACAAACGTGGAACTGGAAGACCTGGATGGGGTGGCGGGGTAATTGACGCACGCAGTTGTGCCAACAAACTGTTGTGCTGAGAATGCGCAGCCGAGTCTCCCGTGTCATCTCACTCGTCTCATCGCTACCCTTCGTTTCCCCTCTTTCATCAAGGACAGACAGGCTTCTGAATCCATGCTTATCGGTCTCAATGTTCCGTACTCCTTACTTTCCCTTGTCTTCGTTTGTTTGTCTTCCCCTTTGCGCGATCTTTCCTCTCCCGGTATCCCTTCCCTTCGTCCCCCCCCCCACAACCTTCTCTCTCTCTCGCTGTACTCTGCCGCTTCGTCACATCGTGCAAGTGGAGTGTTACGGTGCATGAGGGCGTAGGCAGCTGGGGGTGAGAAATGTAAACATGGCCAGCCTTGTACGTGAAGAGGCAAAGTACAGGGAGAGCTGGAAGAAGAAACCATGAGAAAATGTCCTTCGGGACATCCGTTAAAATTGGAATGATACAGAGAAGGAAGATTAGCATGGCCCCTGCGCAAGGATAGGGGAAAAAAAAAAGAAACCATTGGCCGTCGCCAAAAGAAAGAAAGAAAGAAAGAAAGAAAGAAAGAAAGAAAGAAAAGAAAGAATGGACTGCACAGAAATGGTGGCTCTAGACATGGCGGCTCTGCATTTGGTTTGGGACTGTGGTCTGGGATTTGGTTCTGGACCTGGTTCTGGAGACTGGTGGTTCCACCAGCTCTGGTATTGGATCAGTTTCTGGAACCAGTTCTGTACCTGATGGTTGTAGGCCTGATTCTGGATCTGGATCTGGTTTCGGCACTGGCTCTGCACTGTTGGCTCTGGCTCTGGTTCTGGTTCTGGATCTGGTCCTTAAACAGGTTCTGCAGATGTGGACCCTGGCTCTGGTTATGGATTGGGATCTGTACCTGTTTCCGGACTGTACCTGGTTCTGGATCTTGTTTCTGTATGGGTTTCTGGAACTAGTTCTGGACCTGGTCGTTCTAGATCTGGTTTTGAATTGGTTCCTGTTGGTCTGTTTTTGGACCTGCTTCCAGATCTGGTTCGGAACTAGTTCTGGACCTTGGTGGCTCGGGATCTCCTTTGGTGGATCTGGTTGGGACTCGGGATCTATAGATGTGAGATATGGTTTGGACCTGGTGTGCAATCTGGTCTGCATCTGGTTTGGATGTGGTTTTGGATCTGGTCGGGAATCGGGAGCTGGCTCTGGTTCTGGCTCTGGTAGTGGAACTGCCTCTGCACTGGTTCTGGAGACACAGGTCCTCTTCAGCTCCATCCATCAGATCTGCAATTTTTGACTGACGTCTGTTGCGGTTTCTGGATGTACAGGTCTTATCAAACTGTCCACCTTCGTACGCTGAATCCGTACCGCGCTGCACTTGCATTTTCGCATTATCTTCACACTGGCCAAATGCCTGGCACGAAAGAAGTCAACAGGGAGGAGCCTTTGCTTCCGAAAGTCAGTTTCTTAGAACGGTTCTCGAATGTGCGATCGGTCGGTTCCACGCTGACGGGCAACGGCGTTACTTCAGACGCGTCAGTAAACATGCTGCGTGGGATGATGGCAACTAGTGCTGGAGAGGTTTGTGATCTTGCGAAGGCGGAGGCGTATGATTTCCGGGACCGTCTGGAGGTTGGATGCCGGTTGGATTCCATCGTCAAGTCCAGCGAGGAGGTGGAAGCCCTTATGCGTCTTTATGATGGAGAAAAGTATATATTATCGAAGAAAGACGACACAATTAAGGTATGTAGTATGTACTATATTTGTTTTTCCGCCTTCCTTTCTAATAATTAAAGACATGCTGCCTATTAGCATCATAGCATTAAGTAAAAGGTAACAAAGAAGCTAATCCTGCCATTTTGCGCATATCTTGTTCATCAGACATTGCATGCATCACAGAATTCGCATCATTTGTTCAGGTCGAAACAAAAAAAATGGTGCTGAGATTGCTAAGACTGAATGCAGAGAACCTGGTCAAACATCTTTGAAATTTGAATGTGTTCTCAGATAAAATAGATATTATGCTCAGGCACAATCATCTTCTCCTTATGGAAAATCTTAGCTGTCAAGGTGTGGGTCTCATATTCATAAAATCAACCAAAACACATATGCTATATTAGGAAAAAACTTCAAAAAAGCGAAAGCAATAATGAGGTCTTAGGGTAGAGCACTATCTAGTATGTAGCATACTTGTGGCACACTTCTGCGGCTGTCTCTTATACACATCTAGATGTGTATAAGAGACAGGTTGATAGCTACGCACGATTAAAAAAAAAAAAAAAAAATAATATTTTTTTTTTTTTTTTTTTTTTTTTTTTTTTTTTAGGGGTGTGTGTGTGTATGCAGGGGAGGCGCGCGCGCGCGCGCGCGCGCGCGCGCGAGAGAGAGAGAGAGAGAGAGAGAGAGAGAGAGAGAGAGAGAGAGCAACGGATCCACTTCACACATATCAGAGGGCCCATGCAGGTAATTTGAAGGGTCCTCGCAGCAAATTAGCGTAGATCCTCAACCAAATCGAGGCAGGCGTCGAGTATGAAGTGGAGCAGGATTGGCCGAATATATACTCTGGGTTCGAATTCAGGTCTGTGTTTCAGCAGTTATGGGTTGCTCACTTAGCTAGGCCCTGTTGGTCTCTGCACGTGGTTCTGAGGGCTTGGCTGCACTACTCACCAAATGTGCAAACTTAGAATGAATCGTCTGCGAGAAGGTGGAATAACACGTAGCGATATGTTTTGTCTTTTGTGCATGTGGTGAATAGAGGACCTTAGGGCCACTGCACGTATTCCTAAGAAAAGAAAAACTGAGAGAAAAGAGAATTTGTGACCCATAACCGTGATGCACAGACCTGAATTCAAATCCAGACTATATATTCTCGGCCCACGCATACAAACTGGAAGTCTAAAGTCTATCTCTGCTCCACGTGGGTTCCTCGCTAATTCACGGTAGGGGCCCTTCGGAAAAGAGACTGGACACAATTAGGATATGCACACCCACACGCACAGACATGTGCCCACAGTTTTGGGGTATGCCGTGGCCCCGACTGTTTCCCTCTTGCTTCTGATTTTTAGAAGCGAGGGGCTTGTTTGGCCACCACACCCTGTCCTTTCGATTTTATTTATCCGCTGCAAGGATGGTATTTACTATTTAGCTTGCCTTAGTTTACTGACCCCCAGGACCAGTACTATCTTAATTGAGTGACAGGAAGCGAGCTACTCCAAGGGTTATGGGTTGCGCCTATCTGCATACGGGACGCTTTCCTCGCGGATAGAGCCTACCTATCCCCTCAGGGCTGAGCCTTCCCGGTCGACCCTATTCCCTCAGGGTCGGATCTAACCCCCAACGCGGATGAAAGGGGAATAGGCTCGCCTATCAAGGTCCCACTAGGGGGGGGCTGAACTGTATATCTCAAGTGTGCAGCAGGGGGCCACGGGGAGCCGGATAGATGCCGTGGGGAATCGAACCCACGGCCTCTCCTCGATAGCACTTACGTGCTCAACCAACTGAGCTAAGCCCGCAGGCGCACTGACAGGATGCTATTGATTGCTTGCTAAGCTGGGGGAAAACACGAGCAGTTGCGTGATCGAAAGGCAGGCGGCGTATAAAGATGGCATATCGGGCTGATGAATGATGATGGCCATCTCACTCATGTCATGCCGACCGCAGAGCCGCAGGCCGGTCAGGCCGAACACAATGTGTGTCGTGCTTGCTCGTTTCTGCTCATCTGACTGTAACTGGATTTGAACTTGGGTCTGAACACAGACATATGGATGAAAGGGGCATTGGCTCACTTATCAAGGTCCTACTAGGGGGGGGCTGAACTGTATATCTCAAGTGTGCAGCAGGGGCCGCGGCGGGGAGCCGAATAGATGCCGTGGGGAATCGAACCCACGACCTCTCCTCAATAGCACTTACGTGTTCAACCAACTGAGCTAAGCCCGCTGGCGCGCTGACAGGATGCTATTGATTGCTTGCTAAGCGGGGGAAAAACACGAGCAGTTGCGTGATCGAAAGGCAGGCGGTCTATAAAGATGGCATATCGGGCTGATGAATGATGATGGCCATTCACTCATGTCATGTCGACCGCAGATCCGCAGGCCGGTCAGGCCGAACACAATGTGTGTCGTGCTTGCTGTTTTCTGCTCATCTGACTGTAACTGGATTTGAACTTGGGTCTGAACACGAACATATGTTGGTTTCCTGGCGGATTTTGCCCACTGCATTTCAGTAAGGTGAACTCGTACATGTATCGTGTTATGGATCGACCTAGGCCCATTGTTAATGTGTGTACACTGTACTTGCTTTTTGTTTGTTTGTTTGTTTGTTTGTTTGTTTGTTTGTTTTAATTTGGACCATTTCTCGATTTATGCGTGTCATCCTTGCGCAGGGGCCATGCTAATCTTCTCTGTGTCGTTCCAATTTTAACGGATGTCCCGAAGGACTGTGTACACTGTACTTGCTATTCGGGTGCACAGGCGAAAATCTCTTCATGTTGGGGTGTCTCAGATCCTCATCTGCAAATTCTGAATACAAAACTCTTAACCCTAAACTTTTAACCCTAAAGCGTAAACCCTAAATAGTAACCCTTAAACTCCTTGACGTGTTTCCTGTTGCTTTGTTTTATGTACCTGTTGCTTGTAGGTGGTCGTGTTCGAATCGGCTACGCCCAAGGACCTTCTGAAAGCTGCTTTGCAAGCAAGTTACATTCAACATGTCTGTTTCCAAAGCAATATCTGCAGAAGTGGTGTGGCTGCGATGACGGGCCCTTCTCGCCCCTGCCACTCTCCTTCTTTTCCAGTAGAGCCTATGATGCCCAAGGATGCGGATGATCTCAGCTCGGCAGACACGGCCGCGGATCTCCGTGTCAGAGAGAATCCGGTGACTCCTGACAGTGCGCACGAGGACGAGAGCCATTGCGCGTCCGCCCTTACAGCCGATAGCAGCCACGATACAGGAAATGGCGGAACTGTGAGTGGCCTGCAGCAATGGAAGAAGTATTGGCCGACAAATGCGAAGGAGGGTATCCCCAATGGTTGTCGGGAGGGAGGCATCTTGCGGTCATCTCTGGAGTTCATGAGGGCAAGTTTTGGAGAAGTAGAGAGACGATTGATGGAGGCGGGATGGGTAGCAGACGGACTGGTGGTGCGGCCTGCTGAGTATCGAATACTGCACCTCCGTCTTGGGCTCGATGGCGCAGGCTAGAGCGATAGATAGGCCGTTTCAGAATTGCAGGTCGGGCCGAATGGGTTGGTTCCAGTTGGCCAGTTGGTTGCTGGATGTGCCAACCGCTTGTTGGGATGAGCTTTGTAAAATCATAGATAGGTGGGGTCTCGGAGTCGCAGGTCTGCAAGAATCCAACTGGCTGCATGTCTGGAGGAGCATTGTAGGATCATAGATAGGTGGCTTAGAATCGCAGGTCTTCTGGACCGGGGATGGGTTGAGCACAGATGGCCAGCTGGTTGCCGGATGCGCGGGCCGTGTATCTGGAGAGGTGTTGTGGGCATCAGTGCCAAAGGATACAACGGAGCGCGGAACACTCCAATGAGTGTGATGATGTGCTGAAAGTTCGACTTTTTGTACAGCGGAAGGTCAAGTCGAGGATGACCGTTGATCGAGTAGTCTGTGGATCAGCAGATTGAATCGAAGGGTCTATGTCAGGTCTTTGGGGGAGTCGCTTGGAGCTACTCGATAGCGAGCGACAAGTGAATTCAGCTTTTTGGGAGAGCCGCTAGGAGCTTGTCAATAGTGAGCGACCAGTCAATTTGGTTTGTGCAAGAGTTTTTCTTCTCTTGTTGCAACTGTCACTGATTGAAGTATGATTGATTGATTGATTGAGAGAGAGAGAGAGAGAGAGAGAGAGAGAGAGAGAGAGAGAGAGAGAGAGAGAGAGAGAGAGAGAGAGAGAGAGAGA